AAAGAAGGAAAACAACTACATTTTTCTTCTTCTCTCATTTAGGACATTCGGTGTGTCAACTTGTGATTAGGTAGCTGCAAAAGATATTTCCTATGTAAGAGCTTTGTTTTCTTATTGTGATTAGGTAGCTGCAAAAGATATTTCCTATGTAAGGGCTTTGTTTTCTTATTGTCTTTTTTTTTTTTTTAATAATAAATGGTGAAAATGATGGTGGCTTAGGACGGATAATGAAACAATGGTCTAGAATTTTTTTTTCGAGTAAAACATTTCGGTTAAAACCGAAATATTTTGAAACCGAACCAAAATAATTTGGTTACAAACCGAATTTACCGAATTTATTTTGGTTCGGTTTTTGTTTTTATTTTCCTTGATTCGGTTAACCAAAAACCAAACCGAATCGTACAAAATCGAACCGTTTAACCGTTTGCTCACCCCTAGTGAAAATATTTCTCTGGATAGTTTTAGTAATTTGACACATGTTACTGATTTTTTTGAAGATTTTGAAAGAAAAGATCATTAGATTAATTATGATAATTGAGTTTAATGTCTTATTATATTTTCTATTGATAAATAAAAAAATTTATGTTTTTTATAATTTTTATTGCATCATGATAGTTATAATTTTTTTGTTATATATTTATTTATTTTTTTTGTGTTTATGAAGAATATATGGATACTACTAAGTCCATAATTAGTTTGGATGCAATAGATGAGAATTTATGCCTCGTAGATAGCACAACACATACTCTATTTAGAAATAAAAGGTGTTTCTTCTATTTAATAATGGATAAGGCTAATGTTAACACTATATCTAGTGGTGTCAATTTAATTAAAGGTTTCGGAAAAGCAAATATATTATTAGCTAAAGGGATAAATGTTATTATAAATGATGTTTTATTCTCTCCTAAGTTTCATAGAAATTTATTGAGTTTCAAAGATATTCATCTAAACGGATATCATATCGAGGCAACAAATGTTGAAAATATTAAATGCTTATATATTACAACAATCACATCGGGTAGAATATATATATATATATATATCACCCACTTTCTTTTATGCATTTATTACATAAACATATCAATAATTGAAATAAATGCTATAGTAAATAAGAAGTTTACTAATTTTTTTATTATGTGGCATGACCAGTTGGGCATTTTGGATCCATCATGATGCAAAAAATTATTAAAAATTCATATAGACATTCATTAAAGAACTAGAAGATTCTTTAATCTAATGAATTTTCATGTCTTGTATGTTCTCAAACCAAAGTGATTGTTAAGTCATCACCAAATAAATTTAGGATAAATCTTCAATATTTTTTAAAAGTATTCAAGGTGATATATATGGACTAATTCATCCACCATTTGGACCAGTTAAATATTTTATGATTTTAATAGATGTATCCACTAGATGGTCACATGTATGCTTGTTATTAACTCGAAACCCGACATTTTTGAAGTTGCTTACTCAAATAATTCGATTACGAGCATAATTTTCAGACTATACGAGTTAAAATAATTTTCTTTAACAATACTGGTGAATTTACCTCTCAAGCATTTAATAATTATTGCATGTCTATTAGAATAAAGTTGAATAACATATTGCTTATGTTGAAACTTAGAATGGTTTAGAAAAATCATTTGTCAAAAACCTCCAATTGATAGTTAGACCAATACTTATGAAAACAAAATTCTTTGTTTATGTTTGGGGATATATAATTTTACATGCAACAACACTTATTTACATCGAGCCCAAAAGTTATCATAAATTCTCTTTCATTCAATTGGTTTCTAGTCCCGAACCTAATATTTCTTATTTAAGTATTGTTAGATGTGCGGCATGTCTCCATTACTCCACAATGAACTAAAATGGATGTTTAGGGGAGATTGAAAATATATGTTGGATATGAGTCTTTTTCTATAATTAAATATCTTAACCATTAACAAGAGATATTTTTATGACTCGATTTACATATTGTTACTTTGATGAAATGGTTTTTTCAACATTAGGAGAAGAGAATAAACAATTGGAAATGTTAGAAAAAAATATTATATAAAATATTTCATCTTTACATCATTTTAATCCTCGCACAAAACAATTTAAACTTAAAGTTCAAAGGATTATTCATTTACAAAGTCATGTAAACTAGCCGCCAAACTCATTCTTTGATGCAAAAAGAGTAACTAAAACTCTCCTATTAAAATCAATGTCCTAATAAGACAACATATTAATGTTATAGGCAATGAATCTAAAGCACGCTTGAAGCATAAAAAATTAATCGATTCTAAAGATAAAAATTCTCAAAAGAAAAAAATAAAACATAATCAAGATGAAAATATAAAAAGGTAGATATTCATAAAATGGTCCAAAATATTTTTTATAATAGGCTTCTAGAAGAAATGCAAGTGGATTGAGAAAAATCAAGAGATTTTGATAAATTATGTTAATATAGAAAGAAAATAGAACCGAAAAGAAACATATATTGATAATGTTTTTACATATAATATTGCAATTGATATTTTGAATAGGGATCCTTAGCCTAAGTCTATTAAAGAATGTTGACATAGAGATGATTAGCTTAAATAGAAGAGGTAATCCAGGCATAATTTGTTCTCTTACAAAACGAGTAGTTTTTGGACCAATAGTCAAAACACTCGAATATGTTAAGCTAGTAAGATATAAATGGGTATTTGTGTGAAAAAAATCAGAAAAATGAGTTTATGAGATACAAAACAAGATTTGTAGCGCAAGGATTTTCGCAAAGACTTGACATTGATTACAAGGAGACATAATCTTCCGTGATGAATGCAATTACATTTCTTTATCTCTTTAGCTTGACAACATATGAAAAACTTCATGAGTATTTAATGTATGTGATCATAAATTATTTGTTCACTTAAAAATGATATCTATATGAAAGTCTTAAAAAGATTTAAGATATCCGAAGCATGTAATACACATTCCTGAAAAATATAGTCAATTAAATTATAGAGATAGATAAGGATTCTTTTAGTATTTATTTTATTATTATAGTTTTAAAATTTTGACTTATGCTATACTTTTTATCTTTATTTTTCATTTTTCTATATTCACTCTTTATTACTAATCTCGGAACATGTTGTATAATCACTTTAGTGAATATTTATTGAAACAAGGTTATAAAAAATAACCATATTTATTTTTCTGTTTTTATAAAGAAATCCAAAAAGAAGTTTATGGTACTTGTTGCATATGTTGATAATTTAAATATTATTGAAACTCTTAAAGAGATTTTAAGTGTCATAGGTTATCTCAAATGAGAATTTGACATGAAAGATCTTAAGAAAATAAAATTTTATCTTGGTCCGTAGTTTGAGCACTTAGAGGATGATATTTTTATTTATTAGTCAACTTATATAGAAAAAGTTTTACAATAGTTTATATGGATAATGATCATCCATTAACTAGCTAAATGGTAATTCATTTACTTGATATTTAAAAAGACCATTTCCGGCCTAGAAAAGATAACAAAAAACTACTTGGTCCTTAAATATCTTATTTTAGTGTAATTACTATAATGATATTTGCTAATAATACTCGACTTAATATAGCTTTTTTTATAAATTTATTAATAAGACATAGTTACGCTCTAATACGGAGATATTAGAATGAAATTAAACTTATACTATATTATCTCTAAGAAAAAATTGATATGACATTTATTTTACTCAAATAAATCAAAGTCGAGTTTATTTGACTATGTAGATGCATGTTATTTATTTGATCTATACAAAGTTTGATTACAAACTGGTTATGTATTTATACATGGTGAGTCAATTATATCATTGTGTTCTATGAAGTAAACTATAGCTGTTATATCATTAAACTATGCGAAATATTAGCATTTCATAAGACATGTTGAGAATGTATTTGGCTAAAATCAACAACTTATTATATTCGAGAGACATGCAATTTATTCACTAGTAAAGTTCTAAAAATATTATATGAAAATAATGATGCTTGAATAACTCATTCAAATGAAGGGTACATAAAAATGACATAACAAAACATATATCATCAAAATTATTTTTCACATATGATCTTCAACGGAATGGTGATATTAATATTCAACAAATTCGATTAAGTGATAATCTTATAGATTTGTTCAATAAGGCATTACCTATTATAATTTTTGAAAAGATGATTTGCAATATTAGGATGCACCATCTTAAATATTTTAAATAAGGTTTTCAACAAGAGGAGCCCAATAGAGATTAATGTATACAAAGAAATTGTATTCTTTTTCCTTCTTTTGGATTTTTTTCACTAGGTTTTTCTCTAACATGGTTTTAACGTTGCACGTTTCTTGTATAATAGACATTCAAAAGGGAATATTATGAAATGATGAATGTCCATATAAATGTTTATATTCTTGGTATTCTCACTTGCTCATATTAATTCTTAATATGATTCAATTCATCATCTAATATGAGAAATTAGAAGGATGAAACAATTGATTCAATTGTTTATGCACTTGTTAATTGTTCATAATTCCTTTTAATTTTTTTGCTAATCTTGAAACCTACTTGGTTGTCCATTAATTTAGGTTGAAGTGTTTTTGTAAAGATTGAGAAAGTTATTTTGAAATTACTATAACTTGTATTCACTTTATTCACAATGAATTTATTTTTTGATCATCTTTTTTTCTTATTCTTTTACTATTATCGTAACAATCTTTTACCATTATCATTATGTTTTCAACAGGATATTCTTTTTCTTTTTTGCTGAAATCCCACAAATTCCTACTTATCCAGCCATAACCATTGCAGACATTTTTTGACATTGAGTTCACCATGCGGGCAGCCATAGCCAGGTCTTATAATGTGAGAAAAAGAATACTTTCCTTTTTATTGCTCTATGTATGCTACTTCCAACAATGTGCAAAACACACACAAAGTATTATATATGTGGGAAGAGTAGAAAAATTTCTACCAAAAGTTCTTGGTAGCGAGTGCCCATCATCTGAAAGGCTCAACTGGTGCTGTCTCTTCAAGAAAAGTTGCAGCCTCAAAACAGTCAGCAGCTTCTAGGGAGGAGGAGGCAGTGCCCTCAGCTTTGTAAAGCAAACCAAGATTGTACCATGCCGATGAGTTCATTCTGTCAAACCGCAGAGCGCCCATTAGAAAGCATCTGGCTGCATTCGATGGCATACCGAGCTTTCTAAGAACCACAGCTGTGGATACCAAGCTTGGGACATGGGTGGGATCAATATCTAAAGCACTCACAAAGGCTCTCAGAGCTTCTTTGTGGAGGCCCTTTTGGTCGTAAAGTACACCTGCAAGATAATCAACGAACTTGAGTTCTTTCTCAGTTATGTTTACAAAAAAGAAGCAACAAAATTCAGAGTCTAAAAATGACTGCAGAAAGTAACCAAACCATCAACATTGCCCTACCCATGATGTTACTTGTTTTCAAAGCAAAAGAAGCTGATTGATATAGCCAATGCATTAATCCCATTATTCGCTTCAGCAAACAAACTAAAAACCTGGCCAACGAGCAAAGACTTGAAAATATATGGGAAGAAGAGGCTTTGAGAAGGGACGAAGCAGGGCAGGAGGTTGGCTTAGCTTGAACAGAACAACCTTAAGCATGTCATACATTGCTTGAAAGACAACATAAATTTGATAGCTTTTCAGCGTCCTAAATTCCACAGCCATTTCATCAGGGTTTATCTGATCAAGACATCATAAATTTAACCTAAAGTGGCAATATTTGCCATTCACACTATTTATTACCACATTTCAGAACTCAGATATATTTCATGCATGGAAGATTTTAACATGGCAAAACTCAGGATAGAGCTATCTCCGAAAATTTTAAATTCTATAACAAACAAATTAAAAAAAAAAAAAAAAAAAGAGATGAAGAATCAAAATTAAGGAGTCAGACAAGAAGTAAATTATAATTGAAGTGATATCTCAATTCACCAGTTGTATGAAATCTAGAAGCTGAGTAAGAGCTGATGGCCTTGGATTTGGAAAGACAAGTCTCTGCATCACGCCACTGGGACAGCCTTGTGTAGACAGAAGCCAGATCATGCCAAACTTCCAATTCCAGATGACTTGAAGGGTTCCCGTTGCCCTGCAAAAAATTATACAAAAAAGGTTAGAGAAGTAGAAACTAGTCCTCTCATCGCATATTTTCCGAGAGAATTACAAAGGAAAAAAGGAACAAGTAACTGCTACACTTAAAAAGTACACATGTTTTTCAGAAAACCACAAATGCCTTAATTGTCTCATGTAAAGAAAATGGTGTGCATCTAATCCACTCAATTTCTAGCCTCCACCTCACTCAAGCAAGACTGTTTCCATTTTTCCTAATTGATAAAAACCATGGACATCAAACGCCTTCATAACCTAAAACTTGGCAACAGCTGGTTAAAGAAATTCCCATTAACGACCAAAAATGGTAATGAGCACGTTTAGGCTAAAAATTATCATCAGGCCAGTTAAAAAGATTCTGATTTGTAAATCAATTAGTATTTAGTACTATTATAATTATAATGCTATTATCTGGGATCAACTCACAAACCTTATATAGCTTCCTCCCAGATCCAAAGCTCTTACTCTGAATTTGAAGAAGAGCAAGAAGCTGGGTGTATGACTCAATGCCACTCTTTAAATGACCCTGAGCGATTTGAAGTTTAGCTTTAGTTCTCAACAATTCTCCTTGGTCCCATTTTCCAGTCTGATCCAAGGCAGCATTAATAATAATTTCAGCATCCAAATATCGTCTCTGAGCTGATAAGATCCGAGCGATCAATAACCATCCTCTAAGATTAGAACCACTTTCTAGTTTTAACAAGTGCTTTGCATAACGAAGTGCAACGTCCAACTTCCTCTGCTCTGCATTTTCTAGGCTGAGACAGTAAAGAATATTAGAGTCTTGCATCTTTGTCATTCTTCCTGCAGATTCCAGGGCCTGAAGAGCCTCGGATTGTTTTGTGACCCTCTCAGAATCAGCAACAGCTACTTGAGAATGCGTTGAAAGTGAGACACCCAGCAAACAATTGGCGATACTTTCCAACTGATTGCAGTCATTTTCCAAGTTTTGCAGAGCTCTGCGAGCATAATTTATCCCTTCTTCTGCCTGTTTAGGGGTCTTCCCACAAATCTTTGATGCCATTAATAAGGCTGGAACACGCTTTGGATCCTCATAACTATGCAACAATTTCCTTAATAGATTCAAGGCAACCAATTCCTCTCCGGCTCCATAATAGCAGAGAGCAAGAAAATGATACCTCTCTCTGCGATCAATAATCCCAGGAAGCAACTCCTCAGCTTGGCTGGCTAATGCCTTTAAACCCCCAGATAATGAGAGAGCAAATGAAAGGTGATCCAGGATTGATGGATCCCACTCAATTTTTTTCAGAGTAAATTTTTTTAACAGTATCATTAACAGAAGTATGGCCTCTTCTATGTTGTTTTTAGGTACAAATGAACTGTCCAGCTGAGAGCGGAGGTTTGGGGGACTTGCTTCACCTCCGCTGTACAGAAGAAAAACGGCAAACTCTTTTTGAATCCTTGCAGTGGTTTCTACGTCAAGGTTCCAGTGATGGAGGAGAGCCCGCCGGTATGACATGATTGCTTCACGTGGGAAATCAGCAAGTTTCCAAAGTTCTGGAAGCAACTCAACAGCCTTGTTTAGAGTCTCCTGCAGTTTACAGTCAGCGGCAAAGTTTTCAGGGAAGCCTTCTGAGAATGAAGATTCAACTATGTCCAGAATAACTTTGCAAGATTGAGCAGCTTCTGCAAGAATGATTAAAAACATGCATTAGCCTCTACAACGATGGTTCGATCGTTTTGCATATCTCAACAAACTTTATTCTTCTAAGTTCAACTCCAATTTGTACAAGTTTACAGGTGTACATAATTGCACACGTGTATGTATATTAGGGGAATTAAGCTAAGATTGACAGGGAGAAAAGGAGGTGCAACATACATGGTGCAACATACATGTGGACACACAGATCAATTGCATTACTCAATATGGTGCAACATACATTACGTCTCTTACAGGTTCATGTTGTGAGATGCTTGGTAAGTTGTCACTTCGTTAATAAAAGGAAGTGACACAGTATAGCATTGAGATGGTAGGAATTCAGTGTTTTAGGTGGGGATTAAGCTAAGGGGTTTGTTTGATGCATATGGAATTGGGATTGATTAAGAATTGACGTTCAAGGATTGGAGTTTAAATTGCATGTTAGCAGTAGCCAACACTGCAGCATCAAAATCTAGAAAGAGAAAAGGTAGAGAATAAAAAGAAAATAGAATAAAGGGAGAGAGAGAATCCTCGCCATCTTAACGTAAAAATAACTTTGAACTCCTGAACAACTAAACTTAAACTGACTAGGGATCCCAGGAAACAAAGAAAATGGTGATCTAATGTACTAACAACCTAACATACTCATTGCATCAGAGAATTAAAACATTAAAGTGAAAAAAAAAAAAAAAAAACCTGAATTGAAGGTTAAAACTAGCTAAGATTTCTTTTTGCTTTGTTTTTTTTTTTAAAAAAAAAATTATCATATATATATATATATTTGAAGTAACAAATGTATGATCAGCAAGCCGAAGTACCTCTGAACCTCCCAAGATGTTGCAATGATTTTGCTTTCAGATAGATTGCTTCCATTAGTAAACTAACAGCATGCATAGACATCGTTGGGGTAGCAAAACTTCGTGAGTGTCTCTTGTGGTGTTCTCGTCTTTTACCCAGAGTAAGTTTCATCCTGGGAATTACTGCAGCAATATCTATTCCTTCAAATACATGCAGAGCGGCTTCTATGTTCCCTTTTTGATATTCCATTCTTCCTAACAATGCTCTGGCTTCCTGCAAATTACAGTCATCTTGTTTTAAAAGGACAAGCCATCATAAAAGCCATCCAGAAAGTTGATTTTTATTTCCACCAGTGATCTTTTATGCTTCAAATTTCAAATCCAGAAACATGTGGATAAAAAACATCAGTTGAAAAATTAATGAACTTCAATAAATAAATCTTACGAATTGTTATAAGAAAATCAAAAGATAATTTGAACACAGCTTTTTAGGTTCATTATGTAACTTAAGCTAACTGTGATCAAGAATTAAAGAAAGCCAAACAGACTGATCAAAGATCAAGAAGAAGATGAAGATTATAAAGTCAGAAGAAACAAATTAACCTCATAGTTCAAAGAACCACGCCCACGAAGCGATAATTCAGCTTCTTCTACATTGCTCGGGTCTGGCTTCTGGTCCAGCTCGCCATCTTTAGAAGAATATGCACCCATGGAATTATCTTCGATTGCAAGAGATTCAGATGAAAGTGCCATTTCATCCACTGCTCTTGATTGGTCTCCAGACCTGAGGCACTCCATTAACTTCCCTAATTTTTTCCCAATTATCTCTCTTTTCTTCCTTTTTACCCTAAATTTACTCTTCATGATGTTTTGCAAGACCTAATATCCTTCAAGCATCACCGACATCAACAATCAGAACCTCAACGTAAGATGCTCAGATATACACTATTAAAGAGTTCATCAAATCATGCTGTGTACTCAAACGATAATGATCCATCAATCCAATGCTTAAACTAAAAGAAAAACATCAAGTGCTTGAATGCAAAAACCGATCAAAACAGATTTAAAAAAATGCCAACAAAATATATAAGCATCAGAATTCAGGGTAAATACAATTACCATTGATAAGTAGTGAGAGATAGCAGATGACAAATCAAAATTAACAGAGAAAATACAACACCTTTATCATAATTAAAACCTAAACCCCTAAAATACAGCATTCAAAAACCAAATTCATCAATATTTCACCAACCCCACTTCAAAAATTCCAACCAACATCTCCTAAATTCAACCACCCACACCCCAAAATAAAAAATAAAAAAAGTATTAAAACTTTACAACCATATTCGTATAAAAAAAAGTTCTATAAACAGAAACCAATACAAAAACGAAAACCCATTTCAGAATTCAACTCCCATATACAAAACAACAGTCAGAGAAAAGAAAGAAAGAAAAAACACTCACCTCTTGTTTTTCCAGAAAGAAAAGCACGAGCACAAGAGATAAGAACCATCACCACCCATCTCTTGAATTATATCAAATCAAAAGTCTTCACTTTGAATCTTTTGAATGAAATCAAAAAACAAACCAATCCAAAGCAAGAAACTTCCTTTTTCCTTTTCTTTCTTTTGAGTTTCGTTGAATTATCTTTTTTTTAAAAAAAACCTATTTTGGCTCTACGTTAAATATTTACTACTACTCTGTATTCTTTGCCTTTCTTGTTTCTTGAGGGTTTTTCAACAAATAATAATAAAGCAGAGGACAGAAATCGAATTGGATCCTGATGGAGAAGATTATAAATAAGTAAATTGGAGTTGAAAGAAAGACGAAACTGAAATAAATCCTCCAGCAAAGAATTCTGTTCGTGGGACCCACTTGAATTTTTCTTTTACCACGGTGGCACAGACAGGCGGCTCGTTCTCATGCCACGTAAGGTTGATTTTCTTCAAATTCTGTGCAGAAACTTTAACTGTTGTTAACGAGATTGACAGCTAGTAGTCAATGTCAGGAAATCACTACCTTTATTTATTTATTATTTATTTTTTTTTTGACATGGCTCTTTCTTTTCCCATGACTATGGCTAACGATGGCAATGGGCGGAGCGGGAATGCCCTAAAAAATGTTACCATATCCTCCCCTCGTGCCTAAAACGAGGTAAAATTTTTTATATCATCCTCACTTTAAATAGGGACGAGATTTTCATGAGGCATTGGTGGGGCAAATGAAGTAAAAATTGCTAAAAAAAATTTTTCGTCTCATTTTATTTAATTGGACTATTAAATTTTAAACTATAACAAAAAAACGATAATTTATATAAAAAATAAACTTTAAAACTCATTAGTCACAAATTTTATATACGATATAATTTTAATTTTAATGATAAAATTTAAAGACAAATAGAGTCGGGTAAGCAAATACCATCCCCGTCTCATTCCCCGATCAACTCGAGGACCCTACGTGGATCGAGGAAAATCGAGGCGATACAAATAGTCATCCTTAACTATGGCTTTGTTTCAAGGGTCCGACCGTGTGTTTTTAATACACTTGTTAAGAGTCTTTTAATGTTGAAAATTATTTTTTTTTCCTTTTTGTTATATAATTCATTGTGATTACTTAAAAAATATTACCATATTAAATAACATTTATTTAATAATTATGATCAAAATTAATATTTTTATTTAAATATTTGATTTTTTATTCTTTTTCATATAATTGAACAATAAATATATCATAATACATATAGTTTGATAATGCTCAATGGACGTATTGTTAGCTTTTGCTTTATTTTAAAATCTTAATCGAATAAGATTTAGATAATCGTTAAATTCAAATTAAATGAATATGATTTACTCGTATGATAAAAATGATAATATTCTAATTCTTTATTTTTTAATTCTATTATCTAATCTAAATTATTGAATTCAAAATTAATGATGACTTAAAACATGGTCGGTGGTGATAAAAATGATAATATTCTAATTCTTTATTTTGTAATTCTATTATTTAATCTAAATTATTGAATTCAAAATTAATTATTAGACTTCGGACATGACTCGATGGTGTTATAAAGCGGGTTGGGTTGTAAAGAAAACATGAGAGGATCTAAATTTAGAAAGATCAGTCTAACGGTTGTATATTCTATAGTTTTCTTGATGAAATAAGGTTTAAGTATTAATTATGGTAGCTTCTTAATTATAATTATGTAATAGAGGAAAATTATTCCCACCATATAACCTAAAATATTTAGACTTTCCACAATATATATATATATATATATATATATATATATATATATATATATATATATATATATAATTTTAAGGAAAAAAAAGAAATATCAAGAAAATTTATATATATATTTTTTTATCTTGATACGAAACTTGGTATAAAAGAAATGAGAGAGAAGAAAAAATAAGGTCATGACCAAATATGACAAAAAAAAAAAAAAAAAAAGAAACCACAAACATAAATTAGTATAGATTTTACATGTCAATAATGATCGAAACCTTATCAATTCTATAAAAATAAGTTAACATTCAAGGAAAAAAATTAAAGGTACAAAGTAGGAAATACCAACCAACAAGTAATAACACACAAAACTTTTCACATTAAATTCAACCAATTGTCCCTCCGTATTACACTATATAACATAACATTGGAAATATTGCTTTTCAAAAAAAAACAAAAACAAAAAAATAAAAAAACAAAAAAAAAATCACCTAATTATAATGGTAATTGTACGAGAATGTGTCACAACAAACTAAACTAAAGGAGACATATAGAAAGACCAAAAAGATTATGTCAAATTAGAGACTATAAATCCTTTTGATACAATTCCTAATGATGTTATTGCTAAAATTCTTGTTATTTCCTAATTTTTTACCCCTATTTATTTTCTTTTAATTCTTAGGAAAAACAAAAAAAAATTAAAAAAAAAGGGAGGAGAGGTCAATCAAAATAAGTGGCCAAAAATTAATTATGGGGCTCTAATTAAAAGAAATAGGAAGTTTGGGAATCAAATAAAGCTCAATCGAGGATGCAATTGAAAAATCAAAACCCCGTAACCTTATTAAAAGCAAGGAAGGATATAATTGAGAGAAATTTGAAAAGGAGGTCCTAATTAATCATACTTTAGGAATACTATCGAAGTTCAAAAAAGCAAAATTGCACCAAAATTGACAAACATAAGGAAATTAGGAAGCCAAATTGATGTTTACCTTACCCTAATTTCCTCCTCTTATAAATGCACACCATTCACTTCGAAGTAAAAGGTCGTCATTATTCATCATCTACTCCTTTCTTTGATAGCCACTATTCATCACTATTTAGTCGAATTTTTCTCCATCCTACATACAAGTCGAGACACATACCGACCTTCACCATTTCCAGTCGTGGTCGACTTTCAGTTCCTCCTCTTCTACGTTACTTATGCGCTTCCAGCCTCCTCTTCTTCTCTTTATAGAAGCTGTGAGCCCTAACCAACATAACCTCTATTTAATCTCTTTCCATAAACTGAAAATCCTCTTTCATACTAGCCAAAGCACCATCTCACTAGCTCATCTACTTCTTTACCACACTTCTAAGCATGACTCATTGCCAATCGATACACATTACGGTCGAGCATCACCACCACCATTTTATCCCGTCACCTTTCCTTCATTGAAACCAAGACACCACAAACTTTAAACCCTATTAGAACTTGCCTTTATCCTCAAAATCTTCATTGAAAGCCCTAGATGAAAACGCACACCTAAAACCAAACTTTATAGCTTCATTCTCACTATGATTATTTATTTATTTTAACTCACACACCCAACATATATTCTCAAGGCTTCTAACGAACTAGTCCGTTAAGATTTGAACTTGTGACCTTTTGTAATAAATTTAAAAAGAAGGTCCCGATTAATCATAATTTAAGGGTACCATCGAAGTTCAAACAAGCAAAATTGCACCAAAATTGACAAACACAAAGGAATAAAGCACCCAAATTGATGTTTTTCAAACCCTAATTTTCACCCCCTCTAAATCACTTCAAAGTACGGAGGTTGGCACTATTCACCATCTATTTCTTTCTTTAACGAGTCATTATTCATCACCATTTAGCTGAATTCTTCCTTCATCTCTCATACAAGTCGAAACACACGTCGACCTCTTCTATTTCCAAGTAGTGGTCAACTTCCACTTCCTCCTCCTTTACATTACCCGTGAGCTTCATCATACTAGCCTTCTCTCCTTCTCCTCCATACAAATTGTGAACCCTAACCATCATAAACCTCCATTTCATCATCTTCCATAAATCAAAGTTCTTTTTCCATACTAGCTAAAGCATCACCTTATCAGCCCCTCTCCTTCTCTTACTTGAACCCGAGACCACCACATTTTTAGGCATGACCTATTTCCGACCAAGACCCTCATGACCAAGTATCACCATCACCATTTCATCCTGTTACTTTTCCTCTATTGAAACCCTCATACCACAAAATTTAACCCTTATTAGAACCTCGCCTTCATCCCTAAAATCTTCATCGAAAGTCTCGTATGAAAACCCCTATTTAAAATCGGACTTCATAGTGTTATTATCACCGTGTTTCACCTTAGTTAAATACAAATCTTTACCAACCGGACAACAACCACTATCTACAATGACCAACATCCTCCCAAGGATAAAATAACTATTGTCCTTACTTCTAAAACAACCACCACTCCTTATCTCCAATAGCCCCTTTATGGCCACTTGCGCACGACCATGCCAACGAAGCTTAAGTAGCATCCACTTACAATCCCTCTTCTATTTCTAA